ATTGGATGACCCATAGACGTGCGGTTCTTCCTGCATAATAGAATGATGATAGATGGAGTAACTGGTGTGAATTTCACTTTGCCTCAAGTCTCCTAAAAATTTTGTTGATGTTCCCGGAATATTACTGCCCTCAGGCTGCTCAAAGGCAGTCCAAGTTGGTAATCAATTCCCTCTTTGCGAGCAAAAGTCTTGGCCAACTCATCAGTTCTATCATGTATTCGGAGACCAATATGGGAAGGAATCCACTGGAGACAAACTCTGACTCCATCATTGATTATTTCATTATAAGTGTCTAGCTTCCGAGATAAGCACGTCCCAGTTATGCTTTGGGGCATAACTGGGACACCCTGGGACGACTAATGCCTTGGGGCAGGGAGCCGGTCGGCCGAGCGGACAGCACGCTGACTTGTGATCCTGTGGTCCTGGGTTCGATCCCAGGCGCCGGCGAGAAATAATGGGCAGAGTTTCTTTCACTCTATGCCCCTGTTACTTAGCAGTAAAATAGGTACCTGGGTGTTAGTCAGCTGTCACGGGCTGCTTCCTGGGGGTGGAGGCCTGGTCAAGGACCAGGCCGCGTGGACACTAAAGCCCCGAAATCATCTCAAGATAATCTCAAGATAACCTCTGGGGAGCTGAGGGCTAAGAGCGACGACATTGGTTGCCAGCGCGAGTCTACGGAGACCACCCATCACATTTTAATATATACACGAGTCTTTTGACCCCCATCATTGCAGCCCAGCAACACATGCTCAAGTAACGTTTAATCAACACATGCTCAAGTAACGTTTAATCAACGTTTATAACGTTGATTTAATGTTATATGATGGTACCTACCATGGAAAAGGTGGGCAAATGACGTTGTTGTAACAATGAATCGACTTTGAAAGAAACGTTACTCCTACATTAGAAGCATTTTATTGAACGTTACTTAAGCATGTTTTACCAGTCATTGAGCATCTCATTAATGAGTCAACAAAGAGGAGTGTGATCTAAAACATATCACTTGTAACTGTTGTCCTTGCCTTGTTTTTACAAGAACTGGTTGAGTTCCTGAGTGCTTCTGTTTTGGTTGGGAGCGTTAGTCACGTTAATAAAAGACACCAGACAAGAGAATAGTTGGCGGAGCACAAAGTACTTAACTTCACTTTCTCATAGTCGCTGTTAGGTTACTGTCGGTTAGGCGAGTGTCAGAGTTGTGGGAAATGAGGAAGGTCCAGCACCCGGTCCAGCACCCGGTCCAGCACCTGGTCCAGCACCCGGTCCAGCACCTGGGAGGTGGTGGAGGTAAATCCAGCACTTGAAAGGAGGTGAAGGTAAGTCCAGCATCGAGGAGGAGGCGATGGCTGGCCCAGTAGGCACACTGGTACTCCATTATCTGCTCGTAGATGACTCCAAAATGTTACACTGTGTAAGTGTCGGTGCTGGACCTCGCTTGTGAATCTATAACAAAGGTCTTATGTTTGCCAATATAGTTATTTTAAACGGATAAGATAATTGTCGAATGAAAGTGAATTTCCAACAAACCCCTTCAGTACTGCGCCAAACTTGTGTCAATAAGTATCGATAGGTCATATGAAGTATTTGCTTTTAATAGCAGCGTGGGTTTTTACTTCGGGAGTTTGTAGATTTTTATGGAGGGTGATCTTTTGAAATGAGGATGGGGTTTTATAAGGGGGAATTGGGTTTTTACAGCGGGGGTGTTTTAAATTTATAGTGAATTGGATTTTACTAATGGGGAAGGGGTGATTTTTGTTATTACTGTGCGGGGATGTTAATACCCACATTTCCATGAAGTAATTGAGAGACCTTGATTCGGTAACCTTACAGCCTCATCCAAAATGATTTGTGAAGAGTGTGTATTTAGATTCTTCGTCTAATTATGTATGCAGTGATTATTAATTATTTAGAATGCACTCAAGACCCTGAGTAACACTGCCGGTGTATTGATATATATGAACTTTAAGACCTGTCCTTCAAGGGGATGTATTCACTGAGAGATGTATACCCATCTTCTCAGTGTATACCCATCTTCTCGTATATCATCGTCGCTGCTTTCCATAACACGTTGCATTTCGTACGCTGGTTACCATACTGGTTGAAAGGTTGCAGCACCACAGGAGAGAGAGATAAAAAAAAGCTGTGGAGGATTGATAGCTGTTTGAGAGAGATAGCTGTGGAGGAGAGAAAGCTTTGAAGGAGAGAGAGAAGTTGTGGAAGAGGAGTCGTGCCGTGGTGAGCAGCGCTTAAGTTAGTTGAGTGGAGTTGTGGAACACCAAAGAAAGTTGTTGTAGGGAGTCGGCCATACTGGAGACGTCCTTCAGTTGTGTGGCGAGGATCACGGCTGGGAGCCTTGCTTGTGGCGCCGGAGTGACCCGGACACAACGGTTAGAGCTCCGTCTCCCCCTAGTGACGGTGACACACACACACACACACACACACACACACACACACACACACACACACACACACACACACACACACACACACACACACACACACACACACACACACACACACACACACACACACACACACACACACACCACATTAGAAAGAACTTTTTCAGTGTCAGAGTAGTTAACAGGTGGAATGCATTAGGCAGTGATGTGGTGGAGGCTGACTCCATACACAGTTTCGAGTGTAGATATGATAGAGCCCAGTAGGCTCAGGAACCTGTACACCTGTTGATTGACGGTTGAGAGGCGGGACCAAAGAGCCAGAGCTCAACCCCCGCAAGCACAAATAGGTGAGTACAAATAGGTGAATACACACAAAGTGGGCTACATCGTCGGCCCGCAACCGACAATCGTGGGCTTGATACCTAGGACAGGACGGAAGTGTTTGAATAAAGCTTCATTGCACCTGATGCATCTCTTCACTCGTCAGCCAATAGGTACCTGTGAGATAAGGCAGCTGTTGTGGGTCACATCCTTGAGACAGTCAATAGTTAGCCTACATATGATGGAGACAATTAGCGGGGCCTTAATAACCCCCTAGCAATATCCCGGTATAGGGAAGGCAGGTAAGCGGAGTGTGCAGGAAGGGAAGGTGGCTGACACTCCTCCTCCTGAGAGAGAGAGAGGAAGGGGGGAGGTGATATGAGGGGGGAGGGGGGGGGAAGGAAGAGAGGAAAAAGTAGAACAGCTTCACATATGTACAGCAGAGGGTAGGGGGGTGGGGGAGGGTGAATGGGGACACAGCGGCTTCACTCTGTGTTTGACAGCGCCGCCCTTCCCATCACCCTCCTGCTGAAGGAGTGTGGGCGGAGGTCACAACAATGACCCCAAGAACCCTCCCCCCAAGGCACTAACGACCCGGCCAACCATATACAAACTTGCTACACGCACGGTAGAGATGGCAACCACATAAAACCAAAAATCCAAAAGATTGTTACTAGCAAGAGGTACCGGACAGCGGCCACGCCTGCCCTCGCCCACCAACTCTCAATAAGACGACCGCTCTCCATCAGACATTCCCGCCCGTCCTCTCGATTTGCCATGCCGCACAAAAAAGGGATATTCCTCTCAGTCCGGAAAACAGGACAAGAGCCCTCGACGCCTCAAGTTTGTGTGGTGAAGAGCCCGTCCGCCTGGGAATGGTCCGTACATATACAAGTTTCTCCTCGCTACACACCTTAACTCCTTAACGGAAGGTCAGAGAAGTGGATGAAAGGGAGACGAAGATTGGGGAAGGGGGAAAAGGGTATGAGGGAAAGACGCAAGAAAAGAGGTACATACTCCTCATTACCCGTATTCTATTTTCATGGGATGAGGCTCGAACACCACCACACTCCACCACCACAGACAACCACCACCACCACACTCCAGCACCACAGACAACCACCACCACCACACTCCAGCACCACAGACAACCACCACCACCACACTCCAGCACCACAGACAACCACCACCACCACACTGCAGCACCACAGACAACCAACACCACCACACTCCAGCACCACAGACAACCACCACCACCACACTGCAGCACCACAGACAACCAACACCACCACACTCCAGCACCACAGACAACCACCACCACCACACTCCAGCACCACAGACAACCAACACCACCACACTGCAGCACCACAGACAACCACCACCACCACACTGCAGTACCACAGACAACCACCACCACCACACTCCAGCACCACAGACAACCACCACCACCACACTGCAGAACCACAGACAACCACCACCACCACACTCCAGCACCACAGACAACCAACACCACCACACTGCAGCACCACAGACAACCACCACCACCACACTGCAGTACCACAGACAACCACCACCACCACACTCCAGCACCACAGACAACCACCACCACCACACTGCAGCACCACAGACAACCACCACCACCACACTTCAGCACCACAGACAACCACCACCACCACACTCCAGCACCACAGATAACCACCACCACCACACTGCAGCACCACAGACAACCACCACCACCACACTCCAGCACCACAGACAACCACCACCACCACACTTCAGCACCACAGACAACCACCACTACCACACTTCAGCACCACAGACAACCACCACCACCACACTTCAGCACCACAGACAACCACCACCACCACACTGCAGCACCACAGACAACCACCACCACCACACTCCACCACCACAGACAACCACCACCACCACACTTCAGCACCACAGACAACCACCACCACCACACTTCAGCACCACAGACAACCACCACCACCACACTCCACCACCACAGACAACCACCACCACCACACTTCAGCACCACAGACAACCACCACCACCACACTTCAGCACCACAGACAACCACCACCACCACACTCCACCACCACAGACAACCACCACCACCACACTGCAGCACCACAGACAACCACCACCACCACAGACAACCACCACCACCACACTGCAGCACCACAGACAACCACCACATAGGTGTACAGTATCTTTTTCTCGAGTTATTATAAGCAAAAATATAACACATTCATTTATCTGTCCCACTTATTTGCCTCACTCACCAGGTGGACCCTGGTGAGTGGTCTGGTCAACACCAGGCGGACCCTGGTGAGTGGTCTGGTCAACACCAGGCGGACCCTGGTGAGTGGTCTGGTCAACACCAGGCGGACCCTGGTGAGTGGTCTGGTCAACACCAGGCGGACCCTGGTGAGTGGTCTGGTCAACACCAGGCGGACCCTGGTGAGTGGTCTGGTCAACACCAGGCGGACCCTGGTGAGTGGTCTGGTCAACACCAAGCGGACCCTGGTGAGTGGTCTGGTCAACACCAGGCGGACCCTGGTGAGTGGTCTGGTCAACACCAAGCGGACCCTGGTGAGTGGTCTGGTCAACACCAGGCGGACCCTGGTGAGTGGTCTGGTCAACACCAGGTGGACCCTGGTGAGTGGTCTGGTCAACACCAGGCGGACCCTGGTGAGTGGTCTGGTCAACACCAGGTGGACCCTGGTGAGTGGTCTGGTCAACACCAGGTGGACCCTGGTGAGTGGTCTGGTCAACACCAGGTGGACCCTGGTGAGTGGTCTGGTCAACACCAGGTGGACCCTGGTGAGTGGTCTGGTCAACACCAGGTGGACCCTGGTGAGTGGTCTGGTCAACACCAGGCGGACCCTGGTGAGTGGTCTGGTCAACACCAGGTGGACCCTTGTGAGTGGTCTGGTCAACACCAGGTGGACCCTGGTGAATGGTCTGGTCAACACCAGGCGGACCCTGGTGAGTGGTCTGGTCAACACCAGGCGGACCCTGGTGAGTGGTCTGGTCAACACCAGGTGGACCCTGGTGAGTGGTCTGGTCAACACCAGGCGGACCCTGGTGAGTGGTCTGGTCAACACCAGGTGGACCCTGGTGAGTGGTCTGGTCAACACCAGGCGGACCCTGGTGAGTGGTCTGGTCAACACCAGGTGGACCCTGGTGAGTGGTCTGGTCAACACCAGGCGGACCCTGGTGAGTGGTCTGGTCAACACCAGGCGGACCCTGGTGAGTGGTCTGGTCAACACCAGGCGGACCCTGGTGAGTGGTCTGGTCAACACCAGGCGGACCCTGGTGAGTGGTCTGGTCAACACCAGGTGGACCCTGGTGAGTGGTCTGGTCAACACCAGGCGGACCCTGGTGAGTGGTCTGGTCAACACCAGGCGGACCCTGGTGAGTGGTCTGGTCAACACCAGGCGGACCCTGGTGAGTGGTCTGGTCAACACCAGGTGGACCCTGGTGAGTGGTCTGGTCAACACCAGGCGGACCCTGGTGAGTGGTCTGGTCAACACCAAGCGGACCCTGGTGAGTGGTCTGGTCAACACCAGGCGGACCCTGGTGAGTGGTCTGGTCAACACCAGGCGGACCCTGGTGAGTGGTCTGGTCAACACCAGGCGGACCCTGGTGAGTGGTCTGGTCAACACCAGGTAGACTCATCATCTTAGCCAGTCTCTCCTCCTCCTGGTGGGAGTGAAGGTCTCTCAAACACTCCCACACTTCCCTACTCTGACCTCGTCCAGATCTTCCACATCACCTTACCATCTTAGCTTACGATCTTCACTCTTACAAATTATTGAATTCGAACATATATTTCTCTAATCTAACAATTAGTTATCACATCATATGAAAACTACACATGTGTCTCCAAACTCCACACATGTGTCTCCGAGCACGGCAGCATTAGGCTGTCCATCTGTATTATAAAAATTATTGATTTTTCATGGATATTCCATGCCAACATTTCGTACCTCTCACAGCCACGAGGATTCATCGGACACTTACGCAGCCGCTTAGCGAAACCTGTACATCCATTCAGCAGTCATGGCGGTTGTCTCTACATTTTATTTAACAGTTTACGAGTTTGGAAACTTCAAACCGCAAGGTTATTATTGTTATTGTTATAAGGCCGGTACTTGCACTCCTTTGTGCAACCGGCAACAGATTTGTTTCCTTCAGACGTGAAAGTGATGAGAAAGTGTGTGTGGGAAGAAGAACAACAAATCAATGTCGCGAGAACTTAGCATCTGTGACGTGTTGGAGATGAATCCGGGCTGGAGGTGTGATGCCCGCTGATGCTGCTGAGGCTGGTGTGTTGTGAGGGAGAGGACACGAGGAGCCTGTGTTGTGTGTAGGGAACGCACGAAGATGGCAGTGTATTGGGTGCTAGAAAGTGTGATACACTCACCACTCAACACGTGTAGCGTAAGTGTGAGTCTCTTTTTTTTTGTTTGTACATTTGTCAATGTGACTGTTGGAGACGAGGGGTCGTTTGATTAACTATCCAGTTTATCCTTTAACTCTCCCTAAATCACCATCAGCACGACGCCTAACCTTACCTAGGCCAAACTGTGCATCTCAAGTAATATTATTATGTTTAAACAAAAAAATATTTTGTTTGTACATCGCATGAAAGATATATTCTCGGTTCATAGGTCATCAGTTCTCCATTCTCAGAGCCCTCCATTACGGCAATTAACTCAACTGGTTCAGTAACAATTGGACCCCGGGTTCGATTCCCGGGCAAGGAGAGTCTTTTGGAGACGTTTCTTGAAATCTTTTGCCGCTATCTGGGAGTGTGTCAATTGTTGCATCCTGTCAACACCACTATGCTTCGCTCGTCACCTTTCTTTAGTTCCAAGTGTAAACGTTATAGAACTTTCAGATTTGGGAATACTTTTTGTCTTTCGAATTGACAACGATATATTGAACCATTTTGTTTTACCTTTGTGACTCGAGTTTTATCATGTACCGGATTATGTCACGCTTGAGAAACTTTTATCATAAATTAATTGCTTCTCAAGATTTTCGTGACCATAAATGCTTGTTTTATATCTTATAAAATATATTATTATATTGATCACCGATTGTGTGTGACTAATTCTGAGAGGATTTTTGTTTTAATTTTAACCAGCTTAGGTATTTAGATGAGTATACTGCTACTATATGTGAGTTTACATAGTATAAGTCAAGAGCTAAGGTTTACGCTCATATAATGCACATATAATCCCACAAGATGGTTGGTCATATATGAAATCAGGGATGAACATGAGACGAGAGACATGTTCACAACATGTTCACTAGCTTACACTAGCAAACTATGAAAAGAAATGTCTTTCAATATCCTTGAGGGAATGAAGTAGTTAGAGCTCGAAGTATATATATATTCTATTTGGTTTGATGTCGTTGGTAACAAGGCACTGAGCGTTTGTTCACAATTGTTCAACTGGAATGTTCACCATTAGGGGGCTTGATTACCTGTAGTCACTTGCCATTGATGTCTGTATCCCAACCTAATTCTGGCACTGGCACTGTCGCCCTGTGTGGTGGAGGTTGTTGGGTGTTTGTGAAGACCATTAACTGTTTCCAACACTTTCTGACTCTTTATACTAGTGTTGTCTCCTGTCTGAGTGTCAGTGTTGTCTTCTGTCTGAGTGTCAGTGTTGTCTCCTGTCTGAGTGTTAGTGTTGTCTCCTGTCTGAGTGTCAGTGTTGTCTCCTGTCTGAGTGTTAGTGTTGTCTCCTGTCTGAGTGTCAGTGTTGTCTTCTGTCTGAGTGTCAGTGTTGTCTCCTGTCTGAGTGTTAGTGTTGTCTCCTGTCTGAGTGTCAGTGTTGTCTCCTGTCTGAGTGTTAGTGTTGTCTCCTGTCTGAGTGTCAGTGTTGTCTCCTGTCTGAGTGTTAGTGTTGTCTCCTGTCTGAGTGTCAGTGTTGTCTCCTGTCTGAGTGTTAGTGTTGTCTCCTGTCTGAGTGTCAGTGTTGTCTTCTGTCTGAGTGTCAGTGTTGTCTCCTGTCTGAGTGTCAGTGTTGTCTCCTGTCTGAGTGTTAGTGTTGTCTCCTGTCTGAGTGTCAGTGTTGTCTCCTGTCTGAGTGTTAGTGTTGTCTCCTGTCTGAGTGTTAGTGTTGTCTCCTGTCTGAGTGTCAGTGTTGTCTTCTGTCTGAGTGTCAGTGTTGTCTCCTGTCTGAGTGTCAGTGTTGTCTCCTGTCTGAGTGTCAGTGTTGTCTCTTGTCTGAGTGTCAGTGTTGTCTCCTGTCTGAGTGTCAGTGTTGTCTTCTGTCTGAGTGTCAGTGTTGTCTCCTGTCTGAGTGTCAGTGTTGTCTTCTGTCTGAGTGTCAGTGTTGTCTCCTGTCTGAGTGTCAGTGTTGTCTCCTGTCTGAGTGTTAGTGTTGTCTCCTGTCTGAGTGTCAGTGTTGTCTCCTGTCTGAGTGTCAGTGTTGTCTCCTGTCTGAGTGTCAGTGTTGTCTTCTGTCTGAGTGTTAGTGTTGTCTCCTGTCTGAGTGTCAGTGTTGTCTCCTGTCTGAGTGTTAGTGTTGTCTCCTGTCTGAGTGTCAGTGTTGTCTCCTGTCTGAGTGCCAGTGTTGTCTCCTGTCTGAGTGTTAGTGTTGTCTCCTGTCTGAGTGTCAGTGTTGTCTCCTGTCTGAGTGCCAGTGTTGTCTCCTGTCTGAGTGTCAGTGTTGTCTTCTGTCTGAGTGCCAGTGTTGTCTTCTGTCTGAGTGCCAGTGTTGTCTCCTGTCTGAGTGTCAGTGTTGTCTCCTGTCTGAGTGTCAGTGTTGTCTCCTGTCTGAGTGCCAGTGTTGTCTCCTGTCTGAGTGTCAGTGTTGTCTTCTGTCTGAGTGTTAGTGTTGTCTCCTGTCTGAGTGTCAGTGTTGTCTCCTGTCTGAGTGCCAGTGTTGTCTCCTGTCTGAGTGTCAGTGTTGTCTCCTGTCTGAGTGCCAGTGTTGTCTCCTGTCTGAGTGCCAGTGCCTCTGCCAGCCATCGTGACCTTAAACAGTGCCGAGATTGGAATACCTTGGTTTAGCTCGATTTCAGATATATTACTTTTAGCTTTTGCTACTGTCAGTATTAACAATGCAGGATAACAGCTGTGTGTTGTCAGTATTAACAATGCAGGATAACAGCTGTGTGTTGTCAGTATTAACAATGCAGGATAACAGCTGTGTGTTGTCAGTATTAACAATGCAGGATAACAGCTGTGTGTTGTCAGTATTAACAATGCAGGATAACAGCTGTGTGTTGTCAGTATTAACAATGCAGGATAACAGCTGTGTGTTGTCAGTATTAACAATGCAGGATAACAGCTGTGTGTAAGATGGTGATAGAATCCAATTGAAAGTGGGCTTGAAATTTGCTCCCTCCATCAATTATGTTGTTTATGATGGATTTTGTAGCATTTCTGGTATCTATTTTCCATGTTGGGTTCTCTAGTGTTTGAAGATTTGACTTTAAATCACAGCAAATAACTCCTATATTTTTTTATTGATAGTGGTTAGCTGTAGTGCAGGTAACTGTGTATGTGTGGCGCTAAGCCACTTGTTTAGTCTGATGCTAGTAGACTGTGTACATTGTTTTTATTTTTGTTATTTTACAAGCAAAGTAAGCTGCTGTAGAGTAACCTCTTGATATTTCAACAGAGCCGTGAGTGTAAGCTTAGTAATAAATTATATGTAAAAGAATCACTAGTGTCAAGAGTTGTTGGTTTGATGAGTACTGGATAGTCGTTACTCTTTGCTGATGATCGTTTATAATGCTTGTATTATGGGGTGGAATATGTATGGTGGAATATTATTATTAGCTGGTACAATGTTACAGTAGGGAATATTGAACTTGATGAGGTTGGCAGCACTTCTACTCAATTGAAGGAGAGAGTGGTTGGGTAGGGGATGGGTGGAAAGGAGGGAGGGAGGGAGGGAGGGAAAGGGAGGGAGGAAGGAAAGGAGGGAGGGAGGGGGAACTCAGTGGTGTGGGGTTTGGAGAGTTAGACGCGTATATCTAGTGTTTGGGGAGAGGGGGGCTTAACAGGAGGATTGTTGGGGGGTTGGGGTTGGGATGGGGAGCAGAGGAATTAAGATGTTGCGGTGGGGAAGATTGGATTGTAGCAGTTACGTAGAGAAAGGGAATCAGGCACCCTTCCACAGGCGGCAGAGGAGGAGGAGGAGGAAGAGATCAGCCTCCCCACTCCTTCTACATCAGGAGGGGGGGGGGAGGGGGTGATCAAGGCTCTGATGGAAAGCTTACTTGCCGGAAAGGTCAAACAAGAGAGTCAACGTCGAGTGTGGGGAGCACTGGTTGGTGGGGTGTGGGGGGAGGGGGAGATGGAAGAGAGGGAAGGAAGGGTGAAGAGTGAGGGAAGGAAGAATAAGGAGGGAAGAGTCATACGTAAAAGAGAGATATGACCAGACCTTCCCGCCACAAAGACACACACACACACACACACACACACCTCCTTCCCGCCATAATGTATTGCGGGATAAGTCAACTGAGACGCTGGGGTTAAACGTGTACACCAAAACAGAGAATAATTCCCACAAAACCTAAACATTCCTGGCAGCCTCTCCCCCCCACACAGTAAGGCAACAGCGGAGGTGACATCCTCCCGCCATCGCGGACTACAATCCCCGCGCGGAAATCCACCAAAGAGATTTGAAATTACCTTTTGACATTTCACGTGTCAAAAGGTAATTCACGTGTCATTTATTTCACGTGTTCACCCCCTAGAATTAAGTAGGTACCTGGAACTAGGCAACTGTTGTGAGTTGCATCCTGGGAAATGTTAATAGCTCGACCTAGGGGAGGGGGAGAGGGGGGGGGAGTGGACATAGATATAAGCCTAAGTTCAGGTTTTGTGAGGACCAAACCACTGAAGGGTCGTCAACTTTCACACTTACACTGAAGGATCACTAACACTGACACCTTAACAATCCATCAACACGTCAAGAATATAATTGTCTTCTTTCCTACAATATTTGTTACGCTATGATGTTGGCTTTATGTAAGACAGTGTAAAAGGTGAAGTTAGTAGTGCTTG